TGGGTGAGTTATTTATTTATTTATTGCTATTGCTTTTTTTTTATTGTACAATTAAAAACATATTTATTCTGGCAGTATTTTTATTCACAGAATGTGAATCATTTTCAGCCAAATAAAGAAATATATAAAAGATTCCATATTGCTTCAGTAAAATGTTATTCCTGGCAGTACGGAGAGACCTTTGAACAGGCATTCAGACCTTCATGATAAAAACAAATTGTTTATTTCACAGGTTCATCATTTAAGATAAACAGATAAAAAGAAATTCCAATATTAATAATGCAAAGTGACATTGTCCATAAATTTCCACTTAGTCTCTGAGTAGTGGTTACTGTTTAATGCTTAAAAGTGCTGATTATAAAGTCTCACGGCTGCAGGAAGAAAAGATTTTCTGAATCTCTCCTTCACACAGAGTGGGTGTATCAGTCTGCCACTGAAAGAGCTGCTCAGTGATGTTAGTGACGCATGAAGGGGGTGGGACGAGGTCTCCAACATGGATGAGAGCTTAGCTCTCACCCTCCTCTCTCCCACCACCTCTACTGGCCCAAGTGAGCATCCCAGGACAAGAACCAGCCTTTTTAATCAGTTTGTTTAGCCTCTTCCTTCCCGCCGTTGCAATGCTGCTACTCCAGGATACCACACCAAAGATGATGGCTGATGCCACCGAAGAGCCTTGCCCCAGCTTCAAGCTCAGGTTGAACATGTACTGAAGAGTCTCACACAGCTGGTCAGCACAAGACCTAAGGAGCCTTGGACTGATTCCATCTGGTCCTACTGCCTTCCTCATCTTCAGTCTCCTCAGCTCTCCTCTCACCTGGTTGACGGTAAGAGACAATTCTGTGGTTGGGTGTGCAGAGCTGAGGGTAGCTGAACTCGGGGCGGGGATGGGATATGGAGGAGTAGGTGTGCTGGAGGTGTGAAAAGGCTCTGAACCAAGTGTCAACGATGGTGATGTTCTCATAAGGAGTGTCTGGACAGAGGGAGGGGCAGATGCCTGGTCAAATCTATTAAAAAAGATATAAGCCACTGATGGTCCACATCCGGTTGAGGTGTGGTGACTTTATACCCAGAGATGGTATTCAGGCTCCTCCGGACACCTCTGACGTTGTTATTCTGCAGCTGATCCTCCATTTTCATTTTATAGTTGCATCTACCATCCCTGATCCTCTTCCTCAACTCCCTCTGCACAATTTTCAGCTCCTCTTTATTTCCTGACCTAAAAGTCCTCTTCTCCTTCAGGAGCAGGAGTAATCCACGACTTGTTATTGGAGAAACACCGTATGGTTTGGTTGGGTACAGTGTTTTCCACACAAAATTTAATATAGTCTGTGATGCAGTGTGTCAGGCTGTTGATATCCTCCCTGTGATCATTAATCAGGACATCCCACATGGTCTTTTCAAAACAGTCCCTCAAGGCTTCCTCACCCTTCTCCGACCATTTTCTCATTGTGTGGGTCACAGCTGGCTGCCTGTGTACCATAGGGTTGTACACAGGCATGAGGTGCACCAGGTTGTGATCAGATCAGTGTATGCATCCTTGGTGTTAGCATACAATAAATCCAGTGTTTTATTGTCCCTGGTGTGGCAGGTGATATACTGCTTAAATGTGAGTAGAGGACAGGAGGTCAGTGAGGACTGACACTATTGTATAGTAGTTTTCCTTGAAATAAATACAATAAGTAATCTACTACTAAGTGTCAGTCAATTAGAGACCATGCTGTGAGATAGGTGTTTAGCAGAGATTAGTTGTGTTGCGTTTATAAGCTATTGTTGATTTCTGAACTGTACTGCTAACTAAATAAGTATTAAATGGAAAATCCAAACACTAAAAAATGTCGGTATTTCTAAAATCCTAGCTTTCATAAAGTAAATATGAAATACACCACGAGCAGGTTAGAAAGTTTAATTCAAGTTCAGCTGCCCTCTGAATGTGTACAAAGATATCAAAACCATCGATCTGAAAGCAAATAAGTAGCTTAGAGAGAAGAGAGTTCAAGAAACACACCCCTACAGAGGTAATCTGTGTTTGTCTCTTGGGGTAGTTCACTGACTCACCCACGTTTTTATCAGATAGATTCACACTTCATTATGGCTGTTCCCTTAAGCCAAACACACACATTTTGCCCCTTCAGCTACAGTGAAGAAGTAATTAAACTTAATAGCTCCACCACATCAACTAAACAAATTGATTCTGGCTTTAGGATCAAAGATATTGGGAATATTGCATTTGTGTGTGTTTGTGCACATTTTGCACAGCAAATATGGAAGTGAGGAGGCAGGACATAAACACATGCAATGCAGTGTTAAGAGAGGTTATCTGACCGTCATGCTCTGGTGGAAGACTGTAGAGAGAAAGAATGAGGGAGAGAGGAAGTCATGAAACAAGAAGTGGAGAGGAAAGCTCCTCCAGACCTGAAGGCTAGAGAGACTAATTAACTTGAGAGACATGACCTTTCTCTCCTCCTTCCTGAGAGAGAACATGTATATGTCTGTGTATTTCATATTTTTATATCCCGGTGGGGACTTAAACCTGAATGCACTCTTACCGATGGGGACTTGTGTCATGGTAGGGGCAAAAATTTAGGACTCCACGGGTAGAGACTGCTTTTTCAGAGTGAAGACTTGGTTTTAGGGTTCAGGTTACAATTCAACCCGTTCTCACTCCCAAGTCATCACATATGGACGCATGCTCAAAACCCCTTGGCATCAGTTTGTAGCGCACTGGGGAGCCCCTTATCGGCATAGTTCATTGCACTGGAGGAAGTCCTGTTGCGTTGTTTTTAACGCTAAAGATATAATAATAGGTTATAATATATACCAGTAAAGTCTGAGTAACGAGGTGGTTGGGGTGGACGTGTGGGTTAACTTCCGTAAGTTAAAGCCAAACCGTGATGTTTTTCAAAACTTTTGGTGCCTAAACCTAACCAAAATGCGTTGTTTCACAACGTTTTAGAACGTTAACAAACAGTTTGATTTTGAAAGTCTAACTGAACTTTGCATATTTATTGTTTGCTAACTTGGCCGGATGTTATATACAGTGTGTATTGCTGCAGAGGAGCCCTACACGTCCAAAAAAACGACGCTAAAGGGGTACCCAGGGCGTTAAAAAGCAATGCCAAGGGGTGTTGACCAAGCGTCCGTATGTGACGAGCTGGGAGTGAGAATTTGTTGTACAATTAGGTTCTGGTTAGGGTAAGGGTTAAGGTTGGGAAGGCATTTTGTCAATGAGAAGCACCCACAGGGATAGAGGAACAAACATGTGTGTGTCTGGTTCTGAATCAATACAAGGCCATAGTCATCACAGCCAGATGGACCCAGTACATCATGTCTCATCATCACGTGAGACTTAGAGAGCAGGAGGTAGCAAGAGAGGAAGGGAAAAAGAGATTTGTCTGGATCCCACACTGGCTTAAAGGTCACCTACAAAAACATGCCTTTGAATCTGTGTATGTATGTTCTTGTTTTTTAACCTTTTTGATAACGTTAACGTTATTGGGTTCAGTTTTGGAGCAGGGTGCGAATTTTACAATGGCAATTGGAGGGGTCAGCTTTTTTTTCCAGGTCATAAAGGAAATCCAGTACAGTGCAGGCACTTGCTTCAGTGAACTAAAGTCTTGCAATGATTACAATATCCTTGCTTATTTAACTAATGTCTGCAGTCTGTAGATGATGAAAAATCAAATTCATTACACCAGTTGATGGTTGCCCCTTTCCAGACAACAACGTCAGGGGTCACCAAGTATCCAAAAAGAAAAACTGCCAGCATGTCAGACCCGCACACACCACAGCAAACTATCATTTCCACTCCAACACAGACCCATACAATGCTGAACCAGAACCAAAGACACTATCATAAAATACAGGCTGCATTATCATCTCTAATTCGTAATTCTCATCATTTCAAGTTTTAAGTTTCAACTTACTCTTTTTTAGCACCAAAAGTGTTGAATAAATCATTTTCTTTTGCTCATGTTGACTGTGAATGAAATTTAATCTGTGTTCAATAAACAAGTTGTCATACATTTGGGTTTTAACATTTTTTTATTACCTAGCCAGGAGTGCTTATTGTAAAAAGACTCACAAAAGACTTAAAATGAAATAATTAACTCTGTATTTATGTCAAAATGTAACTCTACAATAACTAATACTTAATTTCACTGTTAATACCTAATACCAGTGTTAGTGCTAATACCAGTGACATTTTATAGTGGTAATGAAATGCTAAGCCAACAATGGAAATGATAGGATAGGCTATATGCCAGCTAACATCAGGTAATATAATAAGAGGCCAAAAAATTTATTTCTTGCAAGTTTAAATCATTTTGTTAGCAACCAAGCTAAATATGCTAACTAGTAGTTAGCAGGCCAGCTCTCAACTACTCCCTACTGTACGTCACTGAGCTTCCAGCACCACCTAGTTTGTAAAGATGTGTACAGGAGCCAAGGAAGGCAATTTACTGAGATAATTAATGTGAAGTCGTGAAAGTTGGTTGGAAGCTGCAACTTAAGAGACAGAGAGAGGAGAGAGAGACAGAGGGTGTGTATGTGTCCCCTTAAAATAGACACCATCGGATAAAGTGGGAGACTGAGAAGAGATAGAGGTGAAAAAGACAGAGGAAGAGAGGGGAAATAAAGCTGGAGGGGGAGTGTATTGTACATATTGTCTGCATGTGTGTCTTTTGGTGTCTCTGTGTGTGTGTGTGTGTGTGTGTGTGTACATGACCTCATGTGGGAGTTTTCCTGCTCAGGGATAGATGGAACCACACAACACTGAATGCTGATGTTGTTTGACAGCACCTCTGAGCTCTGAGGAGGATGGGTACTGTTTGACATTTGTATTTGTGTACTGGTGTGAGAGCAGGAATGCGTGTGTTAGAATAAAGTTCACAAAATTGATATTGCGTTCTTACAACTGAACCTCATTTTACAACAAAAGGAGAAGATACTGCTACTTGTGTGTGTGTGTGTGTGTGTAACTATGCATAACCTGATGTACTCACATGTGCCGAATGCTGATTTGATCACATGCACCCTTGGATTAGCAACCCCAGTGTTTTGTTGTATTCATGGGCGTGTTGGACGGACTTCCTTCAGACGTGAGGCGTTCAACATCTGACGTGTGCTTTTTAGTCTGAAACAGAAAGAAAAAGCTCTTGAATTTCACTTAGTAGGTATCCAGAAGTGTTGGGCATGATAGTGAGATAACACTGAGTGTCCAGTATTGTTAAATCACTAATCTCCACACATTGTTTTATCTTCAATCACCACAACCAACATGCATGCATAGACTTTCACTGCGGTTCTGAGGTATTGAGATACTCTGAGGAAGTTATGTTAAACAATCTCTGCTTTTCCCCTGCAAACCATGGATGAGTGGTGAACAAACATAACCTATGTTAAAATATGGACTGATTTCACTTTTGTAATCGTGAGTAAAAATCACCTGAAAAAACTGAAATGTCTCAAGAATTTACTTGGTGGATTGCCACATACTTTTTGTACATATGTTCATGGTCACCAGAAGATCCTACAATCTTTGATGATCCCCTGACTAACTCGTTATTTGGTTTATTACCAAATATGAATACTGATATTAAAACAAATTAGATTTCCACCAGCCTCAGCTGTACTAATTGAAAAAAATCAGGTATTTTCTGCGCTGTTGTTTCAATAGATAGGTTGCCCTTCTCCTTTACATTTACAACGAATTTTCCTCTCTTCAGAAGAATCCATTGTAGCTATCCATTCTTGTTCAGTACGACAAAAAGCCTCCACAAACTGAGGTAATCTATCACAGTAAACTCAAAGCCTTCATTTGGTTTTGTCAGAGTGCTGGTTTTATTGTTACTTCATTATCCCTGACTTTAATGTTTTCTCATGACTGTGCTTGTTATTTCACACACTTACTGTCAATCGTCTGACACTCAAAGGAAGAAATGGTCTCAGAGGAAATAAATCATGAACACGTCACCTCTCAAACTTTATTGTTTCTTTATTCAGAGTGTCTTTGTTAGTCTTGTCAGCATTTAATTTCAAGAAACTGCAAAGTTTAAAAACACCTTTAAATGTTCATAACATTAATTTCAAAAGAGATTGAGGGAGATGTAAACTTAAAGGGACAGTTCGAAATTTTTGAAGTTGGGTTGAATGAGGTACTTTAAAACTCCCAAACTATCCCTTCAATGTCTGTAAATTGAATTGGCTGTTAAGTAATCTAAATCTCCATTGTACACATTGTAACTTTTGCCACAGGGTGCCAATTTTAAAAATGGTTTGAACTGGTTTTAGTGGTCGGATGGTCGCTGGTTATAACGAGGATCTGTTTAAAGCCAGTGCAGCTGCCCATAAAACACTAAATCATATTTACAAACATGGTGATGGATGTTGTAGAAAATTGCCAACAATCCATAAGACTCAGTTGTGAGGTGGAGACAATGCGTTTTTATAGCCTTAAAGGCCAAATTTCAGCTACATTCACATACATAATACATGTAATTATGTGTGTTTGTTTACTGGTTTTAACTGAGATTATAGGCCTGTTTAACTCCTATATGTGATGTAACGAGAGTGACGCTCTACAGCCATGCTGGTAGCTCTCCAAGGGTATACTTAGGAACAGTGGTGCTTTAAAAGCATGCTGATGTTAAGCAACTGTTTACCATGTTCACTATCTTCATGTTAGCCTGCTAATATTGGCTAATTAGCAATTAACACAAAGTACAACTTCTCATTATTTGCTTTCCGAGCCGCGTTGGTCCTATTTAGGATATTTCCAATAAAATAATACATTATAACAATGAATTTCATTCATATAACGCTTTATCCAGAGTCTTACAGTGCTTTAGAGTAAAGGGGACTCATCTCAAGCACCACCTGGGTGATGCATGGCAGCCATTTTGCGCCAGACGCTCACCACACATCAGCTTGAGGTGGAGAGGGAGGGAAACATAGAGCAAGTTACACTGGGGGATGATTAGATGGCCAGATGGAGAAAGCCAAGTTGGGAATTTTGCCAGAACACCGGGGAACCGGTGAAAAGTACCAAGAGATCTTTAATAACCACAGTGAGTCAGGACTTCAGTTTAATATCTCATCTGAAGGATGATATCTTCTACAGCACGACATCTCCGTCACTACACTGGGGCAATTGGCTTTTATTATTGGGAAGACTGCCACACATACGGCCCTCCAAAACCTCTTCTAGGAGCAACTTTTCCCAGGCGGTTTCCCATCCAAGTACTAGCCAAGCCCCAACTTGCTTAGTTTCAGTCATTCGGCAGAAAGAGGGTACATGTTGGTACAGCTGCTTTACTCAATGAAGCTGGAAAGCTCTATATTATGTGTTGACTTCGACAACAACATATATTGATTTCCTTTCCTGCCTTCCCATTCTCTCTGTCTTTTTCCAGTTAATTGTTGAAGGCAACACTGAAAATATAATAGAGTCCAGCTGGATCCCCCCGGGCAGCCACCTCAGACCTGCACTTTTAAGAAGCCACCATCACAAGCGGCCAATATCAGGAGTATAAGGGTTGAAGCCACAGAATTAGATAGTGGGAATAAAATATACTGCTGTGACAATGTCACATTCATGTGCAATGGAAAAGTTGTCATAGATTTCCAAGTAAACTTTTTAACCTTTATCTATCTGGGGAAATCTACACCCTGCTTAACATTCACATAGTAACACGCCTGGGTACTGAAAGATTTACTGCAAATACATCTGAATAAAAAGGTTTGTTAATTTGTTTGCTAATTAGCTAATTAGATCCCCTGTTACCACCAGTGTTGGCAAGGCTGTGCTTTTTGGGGGCTCAAACCAAAAAATAAACTAATAATAAACAATAAACACTGTGTGCTCTCTACTGGGCAACACAAGCTTTTCCTCAATCTTTAAAAAGCCTTGACGCCCTCAGAGTTGTTGCATAAGATCTCAAAAAGCACCACTCAGGCTCTGATGTAACAGCTCCAGTGGCAGAAATCTGTAAATTATCTAACTTGATTTAATTGTGTTTTTTGAAAATGACTAAGATGCAATTAGTCTGGAGTCAAGACTAAACACTTGCCACTGTGGAGTAAACACTTGGCCTGCAGCATCAGCGCCCTTTGGGAGAAAAATAATAGTTTAATTTAAAATATATCACATCATTTTATTATAGAAACCTGAGTTCAGGTTGAGGATGCATTAGATGCATAATAGATATTCTGAATATATTACTACTGCATATAGCTTTCACCAAATTAAAGCATACTGGTGTTTTTGTATGTTTTACAAAGCAATATGTACTGTTTTGTACAGTTTTGCATCTTCCAAGCCCCTCTTGCTTTCCTTTTATTTCAAAACAGAATAAAAACCAACTTGCAGAAACATGATTGGGGAAAGGTAATCCATCACAATGAACATTTAAATCCCATTTGCTTTTGTCTCAGGGTTACCTTATCACTGAGTGGTAATGCAAATGAAAGCGGTGGCTAAATTGAGAAGTCTGGCAGTGTGTTCATTCATGTGTTGGCGGTGGATGGAGTCCTTGTAGTTTAGTGTTTTAATCTTGTGTCTATAAATTCTTGTCAAGACTGACTGATGGGTAAGATTGCCAGTGCGTCTGTGCTTGTACCTGTCCAAATGATATCACAGAAATATTTTTTAATTTTAGCGGCTGTCAATTTCCCATGTGTTTTTTATTTTCATTTTAAATCAGCTGTCACATAATGCATCTGTCTAGTACAAATTCTCTCTGCAAAGTCAATGGATTACAGAGAAAGTTTAAGTTCCTTTCTCAGTAAAAAAGCAGGGGGGCTCTGAGGACAGAGGACTATGTGTGAAAAGGCTTCACACATTGTTTTAGTCCAATAATCCAGTAAAATAAAATTGCAACCCAATAAGATTCAGTCTATGAGCATACGTTTGTTGTTACGTTCTATGTTTCAGAAATGTTAATTCATGCATACATTCATACAAATTGTGAGAGATATTAAATCATTCAGGCGTCACAGGGGGATGTTTGTGCATAATTACATCTCTAGGTAATACCTCTCTGACAGCAGTAGCAATTAAATCAGCAACACAGTCATATTGTGCAGCATAGAGCTACTTTTCAGTGTTATAGCCATTCACAATATGTGCAACAGAAGTGTTGATCAAAGTTAGGGAGTCCGTTTGTCAAAGCATCACAAACATAAACAAATATGGCACACAGGGCATAGTGAAACTGTTGGATGCTGTGAACATTATCTTACTTTTTTTTTTACCTGCATTAAAGGGAGAAAAAGAACGAGAAACACAGACTGCAGCATTGCAGTGAACACAGTGGAAGAGGAAAACATGAGAACTAGAGGCTGAAGAGAATGACTGAAACACAAAAGAAAGCGAAGGAGAGAAAAGAAATGCAGTTTGGTAGATTTTATAATGATATGCTGCAACATCAGATGGGAAGGAAGATAGATTGTAGCCAAGAGCAGTCAGACTAGAGGAGATGGAGAGAGGCTGAAAAACAGATGGGACCCCCCCCTCACACACACACACACACACACACACAACGCAAGCCTTCCTACCCACATATAGGAAATAGGAATACTTTTTCACTGATCATAGACTTGGATCGAAGAAATAACTTTTTCTTTCTACAAAGCTACACTAAAAAAATACACAACGCCTCCATGTACAGTGGACACAGATACACAGAGCACTCATGAAAACACTTTATTCCACTCAAGTAGCTTACTGCTGATTGCTTGCTCTCTCTTCAGGGATCTCTTCTGTTTAAAGATGTAGTTTAAGTCGTTAATGCACAATCAATACTATTCCCATACACAAGGGAAACACACACACTAAAAGATCAGCGTTTCTGCATGAAAACATTCATGATTTCACCTGAGATAGTTTACACAGCAACACTAAATTCTGATTAATACAATAAATTACTACTAGACAGTGAACTCATTCCACTTAAATCATCAAACTAATCAGTTTCGCCGAATTGCTAAGTCATGATTTGAACAGCTTTACAGGAAAAGGCTAAGACTATGCAAAATCACTGCAGTTTGACAACCACATAAATATGAAGCACTTAAGGTAATCTACAGAGAGAGCTTCATTGGTGACTGAGCTCAGCCTCACAACTAACTTCCTGC